TTTTCTCTGCACATGAACATAGTTCCTCATTTGAAAAAATGAGTTATTGACGTTTGAAACATTTAAAATTTGACCATTATAATGTAATGATCTAATGTGCTTTGAAAGAAATTTTTGGATGGAAAGCCAAGCGCGTTTCGTGCTCTTTTCTTAACAGCGATAGCTGCATTTTTTTATCGAGTATAATTGTCGAGATTTTAAAATTTTTGTATGGTACTACAAACGTCAAATTTTCTATAAATTATTAAATAACAAGCAAGCGAAAATTGTGCTTAACAAACTAGACATTAAAATCGATGCTGAATTCAAAAATGTAAAAATATGCAGGGTGTTCCATTTAAAATAAGGCAGCTGATGTATACTTCCGGTATATCTAGAAGTCCACCATCTCTGAAATTAATTTCTGCAGGTGAATGATTTGACCAGAGATATTTTTTGTGGGAAACATTTTCTTCCAATTTCAACGGCAAGACCGCTAGAGAGCAAGGTGCGCTTAATGGACTACCCTGTATAAATAATTAATTGTCACTGAAAATATTTTGTTTAAAAAAATGTACCATCAAAAACGCTGCAGGAACAGCTTTATTATAAATTAAAACCTTATTCGTGTCGCGAAATTATGTAATTTTTTAGTTATTTTACCAGTTTTATCTCTTAGAGCAAGACATGGTATTGTAGCGCTCATGCAATTACTCAATTGCATTTTTAGCTACAGAATTTTCACGTCTCAACGCTCGTTCCTAGGATTAATTCCTTTGTGTTGTGGCACATTCGAGCCACTTTTCCCTTTATATTTCTATGGTTCGTTTTCTTGGTGTTCATTGTGTAAAACAATATTTGTACGCGACGTTTCCTAAGTGTAGGAAAACAACACAAGATCTTTATAAAACTGTATAGCATCCACCAGTTCTTGGGCTTTCAATACAGTGTTGCATAATAATTGAGTATTTAATAATTAATAATTAATTTGATTGCTGATTTAACTGAGAGCGCACTTGATTTCCTTGTTAAAGTAGAACTTGGCGTAGACAAGTGATTTTGGGACAAAAAGTTCTTTTTAAATTAACTAAATTGACTTTTATCTCAACAATAATTTTTTTTCTTTTAAACTTTTTAATCTAAACATCGAAGACAGTACAACTGTAGAGATAGATATAGAGGGGCAAAAGATTAGTAGGTACGCTTAGATTTGCAGATGATATAGTAGCATTACCGTCTAGTGAGGAAGAGCTAGAGATAGCTTTAAATAAAATGGAAGCGGTATTGACAAAACAGTATTCTGTGAAAAAAAATAAATGTAAAACAAAAATACTGGTATGCAAAGGAAGAAAGAGCGAATATAAAGATAGGAGACGAAAGATTAGAAGAAGTGGCTGATTTTAAGTATTCCAGGAAGTCAGATAAGTCAGGTCGGAAGGAGTAGTAGGAATATAAAGTAAAGGATAGCGCAGTGTCAAGTCGCCTTCAATAAAAAGAAGTCACTTCTATGCTCGCCAACAGTTAATTTAGAAATTCGAATTGTTAAGTGTATGTTAAGAGCGTGGGGCTGTATGGGTGCGAAACATGGACGGTGGTCTTGGTGGAATAGAAAAGATTAGAAGCGTTCTAAATGTGGTGTTACCGGCGAATGATGATGTTACCGTTGATTGAGAAGGTTAAAAATGAAGAGATATTAGAAAGAATAGGAGAACAGAGGACTCTATGGAAGTCAATAAAAAATAGGCGAGATAGTTTGGTAGGACACCTTTTCAAGCATGAAGGTCTACTCAGAGACATATTGGAGTCAGAAACTAGAGTTAGGAGAAGTAGAGGTAGACCTAAATTAGATTACTGTTCGCAAATAGTTAAAGATGTGAGATATTCTAGTTTCAGGGAAATGTGAAGATTATCTGAGGGTAAGAAGGAATGGAGGTGCGTGTCCAGTCAGTCTTAGGACTGACGACCTTATAATGATGATGAATAAATGATATATACCACATTAGGTATGGATTTCGAGAAAGCTCTAAAAAATTTGATGTTTGACCTTTTTGTGAACATTAAGTATAATCTGAAACAAAAACACAAAATAACCATGAGAATAGTTAATTCGGACTTATATTTTATACGGTACTCCTCCCATTTTTAATGTAGGGTACTGATACTGATCTGATCAGATTAATTAAAGTTGATACTGGAAAATTATTCAAACTTGCTACATATAATAACATCCAGTTTTTCAATTTTCTTGTTATTTTTTTTACTGGCGTTGACCAGTTTAGGTCTTCAATCGTTTATGGCTGTTTCTTTAAACTCCAAATCTACCATATCCACATATATTCATTAAATATTTTGCTCCTAAAAATTTAACACAAGCACAAAACTCACGAAATGTGTATACTTTGTTCGAAATTGGACGGTTTTAGTGATCCAATTTCGAAGCGTATTTGCTGATTAATATTCTTACGTAATTTTCCGCCGAATTTATTTTCTTGGTATCGACAAGATTATAATCAAAATTCTTGGAACGTATCTTAAAGTTATCTTTAAATATGTTCAAACGATCTTAATTTCCAGGAAAGAAAATCGGGGAGAAAGCTAATTGAGTCTTTTTAAATTTTCAAATGCAAATCCGTTGTGTGGTTCTGAAATGCTGTCTAAGAAGTTCCTGCTTCAATGGAAAATGATAAAATATACTTTTCAGAATTAGAATTTCTTGAGATGGGCATAAATGCCTGAATTAGTCTAATATAACTATAAAAGAAAATAGGTATAATAAGCTGTCTAAAGGACATGGCCGATTGGACATGGACGAAAACTGCTCCAGCATTCGGTCAAATATTTGACCAAACCGAATAGTTATAGGGACTCGTGTACCTGAAACCTCGTAGGGGTTCCTTCGCATGTACTGCGTGTTACTTTGCTATATGTGTCCAGACTTATCCCTCATTCCACCATTGCTTGGCATTTTGGAAGACGTCCTAGTCCGGGTTCGTCTGCATTGGTCCAAGTTTTTCTGTGGATCACTTAGGCAAATGCTGAGGCAGTGATATTCCACAGATAATCTTAGTAGCATTAGTAGCTGGTGGGAATGAAACACCCAACAAGAAGAAAAGGAGGAAATTCTTCATTCTTTAAAAACTTGTTTTGCGATTGGACTATTTAAAATTATTAGGAAAAAAAGGACTAAATTTAAGAAATCTGATTCGGCAATATCTGGGTTCATACTCTGAGAGTCCATGCGGAAAGAAGGTACTACTCTGTTTCTGCCATTTCTACTCTTCTTCTGTAGCATTCGTTTTTGATCTTAACAGTTTGTTTATATCATTTTTTAACAGTTTCTCTTCAAATTAATCTTGGTAGTACCAAGTTAAGGAACTTCCTGAACAACCGATTATACAGGGTGCGGTAACATAACTGCCTTTTTTGAAATGCGCGCTATTCTGGTTGTAGGGGTCGTAGTGGGTCGGATGTACTTTCATTCGAGAGATGTGCTTCTAAAATATTGTTCCCTATGAAGAACTGGAGCCCATCAGAACACCTCAGAACATTGAGGTATTAAAAGCTTCAGTGTTGCAATCCCCACGGCGTTCTGCGCTCAAACATGCATCTGTTCATGGACTTACTGGTTGTTTAGTGAGACTAATTCAGCAGGGCGACCTTCATTATCATCCTTACAAGTTGACGATTGTATAGAAACTCTCAGAATGGGACTTCAATTGTCGAAAAAACGCATGTGGGGTACTTCTCGAAAACGTCCCTGAAGACATAATTGTTTTTTTTTTTCAGTGATAAAGCCCATTCCATCTTCACTTGAGTTGAATCATCAACAAACTGAACATGCGCTACTGGGCTGACACTATTCTCCGAGAATTACAGCAGAGGCTTTTACATTCATCTTAAGTTACAGTGTGGCGTGCACTTTCCTCAGCTGGGATTCGAAGAAAATTAGATCACAGTGACAATAAATTCCAACTGGTATGTGACCATGTCGGAGGATTTTTTTTTACGCCTTAATGAATTAGGTTTAGAGGATATTTGCTTCCAACAAGACGAAGCAACGGCTCACACTTCAAGGGCGTCAATAGCTGTTTTGAGGGAACACTTCGCTGAAAGTCCATCTCCATAAGGAGCAATTTAGAGTGGCTAGCCCACTTACCCGATCAGACCCCTTGTGAACTTTTTTGTCCGGCTCTGAAATGAACCAAAGATCTTCAAGACCTACAGTCGAACATCCAGACAGAAATTACCAACATCCAGGCAGAAATTACCAACATCCCCTCTGCAATGCTGACGCTAGAACGGCTCATTCAGTGTGTTAAAATTGGGGGGGGGTCACCTACATGACATGATTTTCAAAACTGTGTAAAACAAAACTTGAGATACATTATAGAAAAAAATAAAATAAAAAGGTTTCGGATTCACGAAATGAGTTTTATTTCGTTCTAAAAAAAGAAAGTTACGTTGTCGCCGTTACGAATACCTGCATTTGCTCAGTTGTTTTGTTTTGCCATAAAAATAGGTACATTAATGTGTTCATGTAGACCTATTTATGCAGTAGCTATGTGCATGTCCAAAAATCCTAAACTGCCTTTTACATATAAGTAATGCAAAAATCCTTAAGGTTTCCCGTAATAGAAGTCGGCTGAAAGCAGCTTTTTTCCAACTCTTTCAATGTCATACTATTAAGTCTGCTCATTTACCGGCTCGTTGTGACGAATGCATTTTCCAGACAGGGTCAAGGTGGCAGGAAGAAATAAGTAGGCCGAGTCTTTTCGCGTCCTTCATACAACTGAGTGTCTTACCGCAACACCCACGGTCATTGGCGCGTCATTCATAACACCATCTTCCTCTTACTTTACATCCGGATGTAGGTATTCCGCTACTGTTACCCTGGTTTTCCCTCTTCCTCCTTAGACTTATCATCAGTTTGGTTGTTTGTTCTCTTCCACCCCATCTAAAATGCATTCGTCACGTTCTTGTTCAATATCCATCTCTCACCGCTCTTATCTCTCTTGTTTCAGAGACGGAGGTGGTGGCGGCTGCGTCGAAGGCGGCGGTGGCGGAGTTGGAAGTGGTGGAGGTGGCGCGGACCGTCGCGGAACAAGTGCTCGTCGCGCACCCAGTCTCCGACTGGCCAACGGTCGTGTTGCTGCCGCTCAGTCCGAAGAAGAAATCCGTTCACCACCGCCGCGTCGGCTTGCCAAGGATGACTCGATCAAGATCAGTATCGAAAACACCAACACGTGCACTGATTCGCTGGTCACCGCGCTAGACGACGAGACGCTACTCATACAGGTAAACCGTTGTTGTTATCGTCTTAACGATTAGGTACCAACTTGCCCATATCTACCTGCCTGTCTCTCTTTTATAGACTGTTTTTTGTTTGAACACGTTAGTAGTATACCTGTTTACCTTTACGATTCTAGTCAGGTATCCGTTTAGTGTTGATAGTTATACATACATGCGTAAGTGCCGGTGAAAAGGTTTCGATTTCCGGTGTTGTGCATTATTTTATGTGTTTGAAGAACATCTCTCCGATCTACATTAAGTGACTAAAACTATGTTTTTGTATAACAGAAAGCAGCTGTGGATTTCAACAATGAGGTCGAATTTTTAAGAAGGTAAAAAGCTAACATAAGGTGGTACTTAATTATTTATTAGCGGTTGAATGGTTTACTAAAACCAATATTAAGCCGGTAGCTTCAGAGCCATAATACTTTTTTTTTTGTTTTTCAACTTTTACAGTTGCAGTGGTACTGATATCCGGTACCTAGGTACCTATTTAACACCCAACTTGAAATGGGTAAACATAAAGGCTCCTATGTTTGGTTCTATGATCATTGACTACATTGATGCTTACCTTTGACCTTTTTGCAAATCAATAATTAATAATGCTCCGATGGTTAATGTTAAGATTTGGGATACATTAAATTTGAAATTAAAAAAAAGAATAATAAAATAACATTCTATAAACTGAAGAAGTACCTATACCTTCCAATTTGACAAGATATCTGATAATGAATATTTTAAATTAAGCAGTTTACTTAATTACTAACAATTAGTATGAATAATTAAACATTAACAGTTATTGAGTTCTGATATCTTCAATGATTATTGTAACATTATTATTGGTAAAAACATTCTTTTAGTTGATGACATCCGGTACAGATAAAGCAAATTCCTTAGTTTAAACTTTTAAGAAATGAACTCCAAGCACTTCTGTAGTCATGCCTTCTGCTTTCAAAATTATAGTCCGCTAAATTAGTGACTGGTGATTTCTCCATCCAGCATCGGAGATGGAGGGATCTTTGAAGAAGCTTCGCCTCTCGTGCTAGCAAAATGTTAGGAAGCAAGTCCAATACAGGACGCCCTTTAGACTCGAATTAAAACAGCATTAGTTCAAAAAGTCTGTGTTAATGTTGAATTTGTTGTTATTTCTTTGAAATTAATATTTACTGTTCGTTTAATTCTGACGTGATTTGGAACGCTTAGTCCAAACTGTAGGCCGGAATAGTCTCAAGACTTCAGGGTTTTAAGATATCTCAATTTCAAAATTACCTAATAAAAGTCATTTTGGTCCTTCTAATATCACTACTTTGTGAAGTAAAATGAAAAAACGAGTTCCGGCATATCTTTTGTCTAGTTTAACTTCAAAATTGTCTCAGTTTGTCAACACATTAACTTCAAAACCCGAATGATACTAATTTAATTCGTATAGAATATCTCGAAATGTGCTACAACAATCCTAGGAATAGATTCGAGTATGCCTTCGAAGATGATTAAGTAGGTGCCTACTTACCCTTCTTTTTGATATTCTTCGAAGTTCAGATTCGGGCTTGTCGGAAACAGTACAATTCTACTATTAGATACCTCATCTCTTTTAGATTTCCAATTTTGGCTTAAGGTATTTCATTTAATAAATACTTCTAGCCTAAAGTAACGTAGAAATACAGAAATATTTTTTTTTAAGTATTCATCAATAAGATTTACTTTAGATGTAACATAAAAACTAAAAAGTAACCGCATATTGACCTATTGTAGTTGTTCTGACCAGTATCACTCTGGTTAAGCATTAAATTTCCGTAAAATTCATGTGCACATAGCGTAAAGAGAAAATACAAATAATACCTGGGTATATTGCAAATTCCATAGGTAGTCTTTTTGTTGACACATTTATATGGCCTGAACAACGTTTTGTTTTGGATGATAAGTTCAAGGCTGTTTAAACCTTGATGTTTGATTTGAATAGATCAATTCTGTGTAACTTTTTATTGTTTAGAATGTTGCTGAAATTGATGAAAATTAGGCAGGAAATAAAAAAATGGATTGTGGTCGAACTGGGTCCAATTTCTACCTGGCGTTAAGATAAATAAAAAGGTTGTGGTCGAATTTGGCACCGATCGTGTATCTTTTAGAAAAGACAATGTTATTACATAGAAGGGCTTTATTGGTTTAAAATTGCATATTCACAATAAGTATGGAAAGTATTGAAAAATAAAAAATAATGTAACGAATTTTTATTCAATTGTGTGTACAATTTAATCACACCAACCATAACTTCAAAGATGCACAGTGCGACTGTTACAATTATTACAACTTCCGTCGTGCCCAAGTCGACCATGATCTGGGCCCAATTCAACAATCCAATATTTTACCTGCGTTGGGTCCAATTCGATATCGACGAAAAGATTTACCTGCGTTATAATAACAAGCAGCTTTAAATGAATCCAGTAGTGGTACAGAATCAGATTTGTGCCAAACCACGTGATATCAGGTGCTACATGAGGGTACTCATGAAAGAAAGATTCCTAGGATCGGGAATTTATCAAAGACTCGAACAGTCTAAATCGTTAACTACTTGCGGATGGTAAAAGTCTAATAGTCAAGGTCTGTTTCTTAGATCCTGCTTCCGCTTCTAATATCTCTGTAACCAACCCTGCATGTTTGAGAAGGTGTTCTATCTCTTTATGTTACCTATTTCTCATTAATATCTAGAATGCCCTCTGTTTTTCTATTGTTTCTTTTCTAAATCGTTATCTTGCTAGCCTTTTCTGACCACGGTATTTTAACATCTTCTTATAACCCCACATCTTCAACGATTCTAACCTTTTCCCTTCCGCAGCGTCCACCGTCCATGTTTTACACCTATCAGGGCTGTGCCCTAGACATACACTTACAACTCATTTTAAGTGGTTAGAAACATGCCCCATCGTTTTACCTGGATTCGCAGTGACAAAATTCCAAATTCAATCGTATTTTATCTCGTTCTCTATTTTTCTCTTGCTTACTGCTAGTGTGTATTCTTTCTATTCGCGCAGTTTTTCTCAAGGTCAAAACTCTAACAGTTTGAAGCGAGTTGTACAACGTTACACCTGTAATAATCATTTTTGATTTTTTTTAATAGTGATAAAATATATCTGAGCATCCTTGTCTGTTAAACGACCTGAAGTAACCCTATATGTATCAGAAGAAATTATTGAGTTACAATTAAAGAATATTTATAAGGATTATTACTTGCAGTCATTGAATGGGTGAATAATAATGCCTTCGTTCTGGCGGTTATTCCATTAACGTACCAAACGAGTCAATAAGCTTCGTTGAAAAATTAGGTTAAACAATTACCAAATCAAATTCCAATTCTGCGCTGACGAATTTTTACAGAGGCGGCTGAATGTAATCAATGTTTACAATTATACTAAAACCATTGGTGAGAGCGATATCGGATGCAATTGCTGGTACTTATATGTAGGTATCAGACCGCTAAAGGCCTGCAAATTGAGAAATGATAAGGAATTAACGTTAACTTAAAAAGTTAAAAGTGAGAAAATTTGCAACATTTGCAACGAATTGTGTTTCAAAATTCCTATTTTTTTCGATTTTTTCTTACATTCTAATCGGTTTGGAAAGATATTAAAGGTGCCTACCAGTTCGGTTGGTATATACTAAATAGGTAGTTTAGTTTAAATGGATTAAGCAGCATTGTTTAATCTGGAGATGTTCTAGGTTTGTACAAATATGTTTGCTCAGATATTTTAATTGTAATTTTTGTGTTCATCTTCCTAATTTTGTACGAATTACATGTCACTGTTAACACCGCTGTGCCTCGCTTTATTCGAATAATAATCAACCGAAACTGAACGAAAACGGTCTCATTTTTGTTTTCAAGTGTATGTATTTTCGTTTTTTAATTTATGAGTCCTGTAATAATAAGGTACTACCATTATCTAGGCGGCTTTTTATTATTTGCTATATATAAATGTTATTATTTAGTGCTATTTTTGGCCCAGCGTTAAGTCGATGACCTAATGGTAGTGCTCAGGTTGACTTAACTTGATGCCAAGTAATATTATACATCAATGACTAGTTGAAAACGAACATAGGGATGAAGCACTCTGAATTTTTGTAGAGTTAATTCAATGCATTAGTAATTAATTTTTTGGTGCGTGTCCAACCAGTATTAGGACTGACAACGTTATCATGATCAATTAATTTTACCCACTACGGATAACTTAAAAATTGTTGCTGCGGTTTTTAATATTTGGATGTACAGTGAAGTTGGTTTATTATGATTTCATTATTATGTTAATTTTGGTTTTCATATTAAATTCTCTATAGGATATAATGACTACGTTTAAAATGACTGAGTGGTGGAGCTAGATTTTGATTAATAAATTAGGATACTTTCACATATTTGTGTATGTATTTCGACCAGTGTCCTAGTTCTTAAATAAAAAGCTCTATAAAAGTAGAGATGCACCGTATAGTGATTCTTCCGAAAATCGGATAACCGACACAGCTAAAACCACAGCTGTTAATAGTTAATGTCTTCATTCGGGCGGGTTTTCCATTAAGTAAGTACCACCCTCACACCAACGTTCCAAACCAGATTAAGTCCCGTTGAAAAAGTCGTTTAAAAACCTAACCAATAAAATTATAATTCTTGTTTGACGGATTTTAACGAGAGGGTTGACTTAAAACGATATGCTTATAAACATTAAAAGTCTGCAAAATGACAAAAACATTATCGCTGTCGATCATACTTATGTATTCTTGTTAACTAGAAAAAGTAAGCAAGAACTGTATCGAAATAAACAATTTAGTATAGTAATCAGTAAATAAAACAAAATAGGAAACAAACGACCTACCCCAACACAAACTTAATTAATAATTTTCGTTAAGTAGGTCTTTTGTTATACATATTAATTATTATTGCTGGTTGTTTTTCGTAGAATTATCTTGCACTTCTAGGGACTCGGCGTTATTACCCCTGTACGCGGCTGGTTCCTAAAAAGTGG